AAATGTTCAAAATATTTAAGTAAAGAAAATAAAAACTAAAATCAAAATTGTTCGAAATATCAAGTAAAATATTTTTTATTTTTGGTTCTTGTTCTTTTTGGCGAAAAGGAATCTCCTTTTCTTTCTTTCCTACCGCAGCTATTTTATAATTTTTCTCCTTGTTTACCGTCATCCTCTGTCATCCATAAAAACGTTTTTGTGCCAGGATGAATAAACAGTCATCCTGAATGATGGATGACACACAAGGATAATTCATCCAAATAGTGACACATATCATCCTCCATCATCCCTCAATATATATAATTCATATAATATAATATAATATATATATTATAAAATATAATATAATATATATATTATAAAATATAATATATATATATAAAATTCATATTATCAAATATAATATATACAGTATTAATCTTGTTCATTATTTACGTACATGTTTGAATATTTAGAAACAAATAAAAAAAATTTTTTTTTTTTTTGATACTCAAAACGAAACAATTATTACACTACCGTTAGAACCATTGTTATTATTACTATATATGATTTGAATTATATTTCTTATGTGTGTGTGTGTTTGGAGAATTGGAATTTCCTAATGTGTGTTTCAAAACAAATAAGATAAAAAAAAAATTACTGTAGTAGTATATAATGAAATTTAACACGTTTTAAAAATATTAAATAACTTATGTGATAATAATAACCTACTACTATGATTAAACTTTCACTTTACAAGAAATGCATTTCAAGAAAGTAATTGGATATAAAAAAAAAATTGAAATCACGAAATTTCGGACAATCAAGAAGATAAAATCCAACAAGAAAACTTAAAAATAAATTGAATTTATAATTTGATAAAAAGAATGTCATTTTTTTTTCAATTTACGACATTTATTAAATTTGCTTTTTTTTTATTAACATTAAAAAATTTATATGATAAAATAAATTTTATAAATTAATTAAAATATTTATTATATTTAACGAGAAGAGAATGGAATTAATAATTAATCTTTGTAAAAGGAATTCTTTAAATATTTAGAAAGTTATAAAATGAATATGTAAAGTAATAATAATAATAATAATGTTTAATAATAGATCTAAAGGAATATCATACACAGGCGATACTTGAAGCAAAAGAACGTTCTCAATTCGATAGGAAGCAAGTTTGTAAAAATTTCATATTTTATTTTTTTTTTTTTTTATTATTTTATTTTTTTTATCATTTAATTATAAATTATTTAGTCAAAATCGAATATTAACCGATACAATGTTTTGCTGAATATTGATCCTGAAATTCTTTTGAATTTTGATCGTGAGAAATCATTATTTAAAAATTTTTAATTTTAATTATATATTTTAATTATATTGAATTGTTAAATAAAAAATCAAATTTTTATAAAAAAAATTATTTATTTATTGTATTTGATTTCTCTAGCCGAACTTGGGAACGAAATTCTTAATAATTATTGTGATTCAAATATTCAAGATGATTTTACGAAAAGTTGCTTATCATTTATTGATTCCCAAGAACTCTTGTTATCTGAACAAGTCAGAAGTACAATTCGGTTGGATTATTTACCAAAAGTTCCGAAGTAAGTGATTAATAAAAGCGTAACAATATATATATGATGAATAAATAACATTTTGACAAGGAAATTTTCTTAACAATAAAAAAAAAAAAAAAACAGATTTCAAATGGAAACAATTTCAAACGCGTTTCATAAATCACGAAATTTTAAAAATTCAATATTTATTATTCTTAAAGGAATTGTTGAATGTATTTGGATGCCAACTTTTATTATGTGCGTACTTTTAAAAATAAAAATTTCAAAGATAATGAAATATTATATCTGTTATATTTACATGTAACTTCTTATTTTTTATTTTTATTTTTTAGATTTAGTCGTACATTCAAATGCGAAAATGTTGGATGCCGAAACAAAAATTATTTACACATAACCCCTAGTTTTCAAACAAATCGCGTCATAAGACGGGAATCGGATAATTATTATTCACAGACAAGCACAAGGTAAATTTAGTTTATTCTATATAACTGTTCTATATGCATATATCTATTGTAAATATATCCATTATATATATTATATATATTATGTATATTACTGTATATATATTATATAGTTCATCTTTACATAACATTTCTTGGATTTGCAACACTTGTGGCGTCGAAATGCAAGAAATGATTGTTGATAGAGTATACACAAGTAAATATTAAAATGTTTAATAACAATAATGACGTTATTAATGTTATAAAATGTTTGAGATGTTACTTATTTATTGTTTCTATTATTATTATTTAAAAGCTCGACAACGTATACGTTTATCATGTTTAAATTCGGATAAGGGTGACAGTATTTTTTGTAACACGATCTTGGCGTTTTTAGAAGGCAAGTAAAAAAAAATATAATAATTATATACATAATTAAATATATAATTTTTATTTATAATTTATTACAGTTTTTTGTATATATAATTTAATCATATTTTTAGATGATCTGGTAAGTTCGGTTGAAATTGGTCAAGTAATTGAAATTATTGGCTTGGTTGGAAGACATTTTCCGGGTTTGGATGGTAATAAATATTATTTTTTGAGAAAATTCATCGTTCGAATTATAATTTTTTAGATATAAATTTTCAATCATTTATTTTTCGCTTTCAGATTCCAAATATTGTGGTAAATTATGGCATGATAATGGATCACATATTGAGGCAAATAATAATCTAAAAATATTTAAACTTACCATTTTTTTTTATTATTGATAATTTTTGTTAACTTTTGGTTATTTTTTTTTTTATTTTTAGATAAATAATCTCAAACATGTAGTCATGGTAAATAACAATAAGTTGAACTTTAATGAAATTTTATTATTATTATTATTATTATTGCTATTTAAAATTATTTTTTATAAAATAGGACGAAAAAATTCGCGCAAATGTACTCAGTAATGAATTACAATTAGAATTGCCAAATTACATAATTCACCTTCAAAAAGGTTATACCCATTTTTTTTTGTAAACAATTTGTAAATACGTTTTTAAATCATAAACAACTCTATTATATTAATTACGTTAAATAATAGCTAATTTATCAGCTTGGGCATTCACACAAAGGCTTGTCGATGTATTCTTTGGTAAGAAAAGATAAACCTTTGATTCAAATATGTTTCAAAATAAAGAGAAATTAAATGTTTATTTTTTTTTATAAAGATGATATTACACCGTGCTTTGTATATAGAAAAATCAAATTATTATTTCTATTGAGGTATACAGTCGGTTATCTTTCTTAGTTATATGTTCTTTTAATTCTTTTTAATTTGTTTGTTTAATAATTTTAATTGTTCAAATTATAATTAAAAAATTTAATTAATAATAATATTATTATTCATTATTTTCAGTCTCGCTGCATTGTCTGAACAAAATCAATCAAAGAAACATGGAATCTCTCCAAGTGTTCACATTATGATAATATATGATGGTTATAATTCAATCATTCCTAGAATGATGAGACGTGTATCAAAATTGAAAAGGTTGATAAAAAAAAAGTGATAGCGTTATTCTTTTGACAAGACAACATTGAATATATTAATTTTATTATCATTTTTTTTTAGACACGGGGAATGGAATCATGGTTTGGGTCAGAAAAAACAACCGTTATTCGTAATTCAAGATGGAAAAAACAATATAAAAGAAACTTTCATTGAATGTGCCGAAATCTATTTTTTATTATATCGTTTATTACTGCGTACAATGTTATGTTATACTTTTAACTTACATTTTTTATTATTTTATACTTCATCCTCGCCATTATTATCACACCATTATTATCACCATTATTATTATTATTATTATTATTATTATTATTATTATTATTATTATTATTATTATTATTATTATTATTATTATT